TTTGATATTTAATTATTTTACTTTAGAAAACAAACAGTTCAATTAAAATACAGTACAATTATTTTATCCATCATTAAAATTATTTCAAAATTACATATTCATATTTTTCAGTTTTAAAACAAACATACAAAAAAATTTTGCTTTGCTTCGGCCATTACGTATAGGATTCCGGACCGTGGTCAAATATCGTAAAATTCCGCCCGCTGCTGCAGCCAATCAGATTGCAGAAAACGCTAGGATTCCGCCCGCTGCTGATTTACAAAAAAATAAATGACTTTTATTTTCGAGTGGTGAAAACAATATTTTACGAACGAGCGCAGCGAGTAAAATATTGTTTTTAACACGAGAAGATAAAAGTCATGTCTTTAAGCCACCGTGTAATGTTCTGTTTATTACATAATCGCAAGAAAAAAATTGTGAAATTTCACGTTCAAAAGCAAATTGGAAAAAGTCACGTGATCGATATCCTCACTAGTGAAGATATGAAAAATATGTCACTGTGTATTTTTCAGTATCTCATGCATGCACTCTCTACTATATAATAAAGTATGAATATGCTATGGATTTAGTGATGCAATCGCAAATTCCGTAGTATGAATTTCACTATTTCTTTCCAGTGATATACAAACTTGCATGCGTAGTTTCTCTTAATGGTAATCCATCTACACGATACTGTACAGGGGCCGGTGGTACGAAGGTCGGATAGCGCTATCCACCGAATAGTGATTTTTCAACCATTGTAAAATGCTTGAAAACCCGTGAAACTACGGATATAAACGACACACGAAGTATAAAAAACATTTAACTTATAAATACTAAACTTTAATACGAGTTACACCAATCAACGACTGATTTAACAAAGCTTGAAAAAATCACTATCCGGTGGATAGTGCTATCCGGCCTTCGTACAACCCGCCCCAGTAGTTAGTAACTATATACGCATGAGACTGACCGCGCTATTCTACAGTAGCTACAGTAGTTTGTCTGGACAGTTCGAATACAGACCAGTTTCGAAATACGCACTGAATTACAACTTACCGAACTACTAGACGTTCTATCTTGCACACTTTCACCACTCGATAATTCATCTTTTTTCTTCTCCGAATCATCACAATTCCTTTCAACAATAGTGGCAGAACTTGTTGAATTACTTGAACACACTTCACTCTTTGTATTACAACTGCTATCATGACATTTTGCTGTATTTTCACGGGCTTCCGTATCTTGTAATTTTGACACTTGTTTCTCCGTTCCTACTTTCGACACAGGTGACTTATTAGTGTCAGTAAGACTGGTCTCTTCTGAAATTACTGCTTCTTGTTGGTCTCTTTTGGGTTTATCTAACTGTTCGTGGTTTTTAGTGTCTGTCAGGGCAACTTCTTTTTGGTGTTCGTTTAATTCACCTTTCGTTTTGGTATCAACTGTTTCCGGTTCAAAACTATGAACGTTTTCCTCACATAGGCTAGGATTGCCATCATTGTTTTCGTTTTCGGATGTGTTTCTAGATTGAAGTTCGTTGGTTGTTGTCGTGCTAGAGCCTTTGCCAGAGCTTCCAGAAACGCTGTAGTCGCTGTCAGCCATCGATGAACAAGACGATTTAGTGTCACTTTCTTCCCCGCTATCGCTGCTTAGATCTTCGTCTATGTCATGCCTACAAGACGAAAAGTTGAATCATTGATTATAACTAGCAAAATAATCCGGCCATGCATGGGAAAATGATGATCAATTGCCAATACAGTATCGCTTCGTACCCACAGCCCAACAGAATCCATAGAACGAGACGAACTCGGAACAGTATTGAAATCTCCACGATTTCTCTTTTGTGTTCAAATGGGATGCATAAAACCGAATCGCATACAGTAATGTACATGTATACACATGCTGTACATACATCGAACAGTATAATGAATGATAATATCTTTGAGAAAAACAGTTACAAACATAGAGTAAAATAAAACTATAAACAATGGGACTAATATATATTAACGGATTAGTACATGATATCGAGAAATTGCTCTCTTGAAATCAATTAAAGTACTTAAAGTTCAGAAATTAACTGGAGAAAATTCTAGGCCTAGCAATGTTTGGTAGATTTCTAGTAACTAACTTTACGAAGCAGCAAATTAATTGACTTCAATAATTTGAGCACGATAAATTGCACGAAGCAACAAGGTGTTTCTCCTTAGCCAAGTATACATACATGACTACAAAAATTAACGTACCATAGTTTACGTTTCTTATGCCTCTTTTTGCCTTTCTTATCTTCAACCTTTCTTTTCCCCAAGCTGGAACTTGACTGGCCGGAACTTGCACTGGATTTTAAACCTGAAACAAGCGGTTTATTTATGAGTGGGATGTAGGTTGGTATGACAGAGTGGTTAGTGCAAGTGTCTTTCATTTTTGTGACAATGCCGGTTTGATTCCTGTAATACTAGGTTGCCTGATTATTTCACCTCAGTTGCATATGAGAAGAGTGCTTATAGTATGACTCTACCAAACACTTCACGTTTTCTTCAAGTACTCCAGTTTCCTCCAGTAGAAGAACTGGACAAATAAGGAATGAGCCTTAAGGCTGATTTCCACTGTTGCGTTTTTCATACGTACGTATACGCACGTAAAACTTTAAATCAGTTTAAATGTTACTTATGAAATGACTGAATAAATAAAGCAACAGAATTTAGTGTTCTGCAAGTTTTAGTATGCATTTGTTAACTTATTTGTAAAATATTTAAAAAATAGAAGGATTCAAAGTTTTACGTGCGTGTACGCGCGTACGAAAAACGCAACAGTGGAAATCAGCCTTTACTCAGAGACGGATTTTAATATTTTCGTTCGGGGG